TGGCCAGCCGGCAAAGGAGCCTGGCCGCCTGTGGCCAAGCCAGCTTTTAGCATCTCTGCCAAAATTGCCGACAGAGAGCCTGGTTGCGGAGAGCGCGGGGCCGGGCTGGCCGTGGTGCGAGGCCCTGCAGCGAGCTTGCCCCGGGGCTGCGGGCGGGCGGGAGGCTGCGCTGCCACTGACGGGAGGCGGCCTGGGGACAGGGAGGTGGGCGTTGCTATTTTCGCTCCCCACATCCTCTGTCAGTTTCTAAGAACCGGCGGCGGATTCCTGGTAAGAGATTTCGGTGTGTGACAATATCCAGCGAGCGTGTGCGGCCCCGCAGCGTCCAGCTCGGCTCCGGCCGCGAGGTGCGAAATGCCACCTCTTACCCCTCGGTGCGAGCCGAGACGCGGTGTAGGAGCCGGGCTGGGGTGCGCCCGCTGGCGATGCCTCCCGCAGCTCTCGGTGCGTCATGGTGCTCTGGTGTCAAAGTGGAGGAGTTTCCTCCTCTGGTTACAGCTTGTGTGAGGAGAAAACAGAGCGGGGTTTGCTTTCCTTCCAAGTGATGTGTCACTGCTCGCAGTCCCCTGCGCCTTTCTGTTTGTGGGGCTGCTGCGTCCCCCAGCCCTGGGCTCCCTGGGCCCCGGGAGGTGCGGGTGAGTCAGCGGGGCTCCCCCGGGAGAGCAGGAGGGTGAAAGCCTTGCGAGAAGCTATGTGGCCACAGCATCGTTCTCGTAACGATTTGGCGTCGATGGCGCGTAGCGTAGGGAACACGTGGCTGGGGGGCTCTGGGAGGGCTGGGTCCGGCTGCCTTCAAGATCCCCAAAGCGATGCAGCGTGCGTCCGCCGCAGCACCCAGCAGGGATTCGCCCTGTCCTGGCTCGGACGTGGGCAGGGACGGGAGGAGGCAGAGTCTCTGCAGCGGGTGGGTGACCGCAGAGATGCAGGGCCACGCCAAGCTCCGGGAGACCTGGGGCTCCGAGGTCCCTGCGTGCGCCCGTGGCGGCTGCGCGCCGGCCGTCGCTCGTGGATCTGGGAAGTCTGGGTTGGAACGGTCGATGCCGGCCGGCGCAGAGTTGCTCTGCTCCAGCCTCTTGGTCGTCAGCGGCAGCTGACTGCCACACCGCTGAAATCACACGCTGTGTCCAGGCGCGAGCCCGGCTGCTTTGGGAAGCTCTGATGGGCACAACGTCTGTTCCTCGAGAACGTGGCCAAGCAGGGAGGTGGGGAGAAGACAGCCAGACCGTGGGGCTTCTCCTGGGGAGGGGCCTAAAGCACAGACGGGCTGGAGATGCCCCTTGTCGGAAAAAGGCATCTCTGTCTTGTGCGTTTAGGTACTCCAGGGGCCAGAGACGTAGCCCAGCAGCTGCTCAGAGCTGTTTGTAAGGCTCCCACTGCTGAGCAGCAGCGAACTGAGGCCTCTTGTCTCGCTCCCTCTCCTGCAGGACTGCCTGAAAGCCTGTCAGGAGCAGATTGAGGCAGCCTTAGCCGAGAGCCTGAAACAAGCGTCCCAAACCCAACAGGAATACCGGGCCACCAAGACTGCTGCTTACCCGGCCAGCCAGCCCACCGGCACGCCCACAGACGTCACGGACATCAACCTGTGACCAGCCTCCCTTCCCGAGAGCCGCCCGGCCCCGCCGCAGCAGGCCCTCGCCCTGGACACCGAAAGGTCGCTGCATCCCACCCACCCGTCCATCAGCCCCCTCCACCGGACGCCTGCTGAGGATTTGTTCCGCTCGCCGGGAGCGCAGAGCAGGACCCGCGCTCGTCTGTCGGAGCGGGCGGCCGGGCCGGCGGAGCTCGACGCTGCTCGTCGGCTTCCATGGGTGGCCGGGGTGAAGCGACCGTTTTCGTGGTGGCAGGGCAGAAGAAGAGCTGGGGAGGGGGAGCAGGACCCAAAATGAAGTTGTAAAATGTTTCTCGGTTCATGTTCCTCGTAGCCCGGCTGGCCGCTGTTTGCCGTCTCCTCGGGGGCGTTTACCGTGACGACATCCAGCCCCGCGCGGGCCCTCGGTCGTCGATAGCGAGCCCTTACCCCAGCCTGCGTGACCAAAATCCTCCTAACGCCCACTCCCTCCGCGGGCCGGGGTGCTGCGGGCCCGCCTGGCTCGCGAGAGCGCGTGGCCGGGAGGAGGGAGCCGGTGCTCGTTGGCCCCTCGGTGCCAGCCGCTTCGTGCCAGGTTGCTGGGGCTGCCGGGGGCGGCGCGGCTGCTTCTGCTTGGAGGGGAAACGTGTGGCTTGTTCCTTGTTGCTGTTAGATTTGGGATTTGCGGGTTTTCGGCTTGCGTGGGGGCCGCGCTCCCCGGCTGCGTGGACAGCGGAAGAGAAGTCCTCGCCTCGGGGAGCAGCCTCCTGGGGGAGGTGTGGGCGCGGTCCCCTTGCCTTCCCGCCGCCCCACTGAGGCTGCTTAATTTATTGTTAACTGCTGGGAAAAGGGGAGGGAGGAAGACTGCGGCTCCTGGGTGCCGGTCTCCTCTCCTTCCCAAAGAGTGCCTTCTCCCTTCGTCCCCTCCCCAGCTCCCTGGGCAATGGGAGACTCCCACTCGGACGCCGGTTGGGTTGTTAGGTAGCTTGGACATCGGACTAGGATTTAATACATGTGAATGTGCTGCTATGGTCTGACACGCGTCTGCCCTCCGCGCAGGGCTCCCGGAGGGCGGTCGGGAGGGGCGGCGGTGCACGGATCCCCACGGGGCTCCGAGCTCTCGCCTCAGCGGGTGGGAAATTTGCCGCGCACTTGAGTTGAAAAGCAATTATTGCATTTTTGTATTGTTGTTGTTGATCCTGTCTGTTAGTTTTTATAAAAAGTGTTTTAAAAAAAATAATGCTGCTTTTCGAAAAGAAAACCATTCTATAGTAGAATCGTATTAACCAGGAGAAGCCAGAGGGACGCTGCAGGGACGGGAGGGAGACTGTTGCTGCTTGGTGGCCTCTGGACGCGTGGGTCTGTGGCTGTCGTCCTCCCGTGGGGGACGCGGAAAAGGAGGGAGAAATCTGCCTTTTTGGATGCCGCTAGAAACAAAAAGTCTTATCAGGTGGAAAAAGATGGGGCTGCTGTTCTGCCGCTAGCCTGCCTGGTCACGAAGAGCCATCCGCCGCCACCTCCTGCTAGCGGGAGGGCCGCGGGCGCCCAGAGCCTCTCTCTACAGGAAGAAAAAAATTTTTTTATATATAAATGAGTTTTAATTTAAGCGTAAACTGGTTTGGTGTTCACATGCAAGAGTCCCGCTGCTGGGAGAATCAAAGGACCGATAATGTTGCAATAAAGTATTTTAAATGAGTACGAGGGCCTCAGGGTTTCCCTTTGCGATCCGCTCCGCGCTCGCCTTGGGCCGCCCGGGGAAGGCCTCGGGCTCCTGCTCCCTCGCGGAGCTCCGGCCGCTGCCCCGAACAGCGCCGGGCTGGCGGTGGATGAACGCGGAACCCAAACGCCTTCCTGCGGGCACGGTGCCCGCCTGCAGAGCGGCCGCGGGAGCGGAGGCAGCGGCTTCACGCCCCCGGCAGCTTTGAAGCAGCTCGGGCGGTGCTGCAGGGTGGTGCTGCAGGGCAGCGAAAGCGCGCTGGATGCGCTGCGCCAGCCCGGGCTATCTCTCACGCTCATCAGCTTCTGGCTTCTTTAAGGAAAGAAGATAAAATCGGGGAGCCAAGGAAAAGGCGCTGCGGTGCACAACCAGCGCGGGCGGCCGGGCTCAGCGTGCTGCTTCGCTTCACGTGGCCTCTGCTCCCGCCGCCACGGGCACGGGAGAAGGCGCCAGCTCTCGAGGGAAGCGGCGGCAGGAGGCAGCTGTCCTCGGCACGGCCGGCCACCGCAGGAAGCTGCAGGGGCTTTTCTCCGTGGGCCGCACCAGCGGGACTTCGCGCTGGTTTCAGGGGCAAGGCCGGGTATTTGCAAGGCGCAAAGCCCATGGCATCGCAGCGGCGCCGTCGGCACCTCCCCAGGGTAAGCGCGGGGGGAAAAGCCCCCACGGGGTTTTCCAGCGGAGGTGGCGCGCGTGCGTGGGCAGGTTGCCACGAGCAGGCCAGGCGCGTGGCCTCGATGGCCGGGCGAGGACAGCGGCCCTGGGGTGCCGGGGCTTTGCCAGCCTTGCCGAGTAGAGGCAGGCGCAGCCGGGTTGCAGGAAAATCCCTGGGGAGCGGACGGCGGGCGTTCTGGAGGTGGGCCACGCACCCGCTCCCCGTGGCGACCCAGCTCCGGCCCTGCTGCTGGCCAGCGGCAGCTCCGCAGCTCTGCCCGGTGACAACCAAGCCCTCGGGGAACCCTCGTGCACCACCAGGAGCATTTCTTCCCCCTGAGAGTGGTTTTGGGCTCTGGGAAGCGCCTGGGGGTCCCGGCCCTGCCCCCCCCTTTGCCCAGCCGCGCAGGGCGGGAGGAGGGGGTGCGAGCGGCCCCTTCTCCCTTCGCAGCGCAGCCGGGCTCCAGCTGCAGCTCTGCCAGAAGCCCGGGGCTGGCGGCTTTGCTCTGCCACCTGCTGGGGACAGGACCGGGTGGGGACGGGGCAGGACCGCGCAGGCTGCGGGGCAGAACCACCCCGGCTGAGGGACACGGCTCGGGTTTTATTTTCCGACAGAGGAAGGGCCCAGCCCTCCCGGGCGCGGGTGGCGGCAGGCTCCCGGCGGGGACGGGGAGCGCGGTCCAGCTCTACGGGCACAGCCTGCCCCCGGAGCAGCGGGATCCGGGGTGGGCGCTCCCCACGCCTCCGCTCACGCACCGGGCTCCCAGCTGCATCCAGCAGCGTCCCGGGAGCAGGGCGGGCTGCAGCTCTTCCCTGCCTCTCCCTGCTCACTCCATGGCCGCAGGCTCCTGCCCCTCCACGTCCCGCGTCTTGGAGTTCACCAGCTCCCTCCGGATCTCCGGCGAGATCTGCGGGTGGCTGTGGAACTTGAGCAGCTCCAGCAAAGCCTCCTTCTGCTCCGAGGAGAGGTCCTCCTTGTAGCGCTGGGCGAAGGCCAGGAAGCTCTGGTGCCACAGCACGGGCAGGACCCGCTGGTCCGTGCGGAAGGCCAGGAAGTGGAAGACGAGGGCATCCACCACGCGGAAGGGCAGGGCGTACTTCTTGTCGATGAGCAGCCGGAGGAAGATGCTGTTGGCACCGCTGTACTGCATCTCGGCGATCTTCAGCATGGCCGCGCTGCGGAGACGGAGGGAGCACCGAGGTGAGGGCAGGGCAGGCGGCAGCCGCGGGGCAGCAGGCGGCCAGACCCAACGATGACAAACCCAGCGCGGAGCCCTGAATCTCAGCCCCGGAGGGAGCTGAGCGAACGCCCCCGCCTCCGAGATGCCGGAGAGGCTGAGGGACGGATCGGAGGCGTTGCACCGGTGGCCCCGAAGGAGAACCTCCCCCCTCCGCCGCCCCCAGCGCGTTACCTGGAGTGGAGGACGGGGATGGAGCACTTGGTGAGGATGCTGCCGATGATGATGGCCTCCCGCAGCGTGCAGGTCCCCGACTCGCACAGGGGGATGAGGATCCCTGCGGGAGGGAAGAGTCAGGCAGCGCCTGCCCTGATCGCAGCAGGCAGAGCTGGGGGCTGAGCCCCTTCTCCTATCCCTGGACACATCTGCCCCAGGAGATGGCAGCTCCTCCACCAGCCGCCGTTACAGCGCTCGCAGCACCTCCCTGCCGCGCAGGTTGCCCCGAACGCCCGCAGGTTGCCCCGAACGCCCGCAGGTTGCCCGATGAGACCGAGATCAGACCCAAGACAGTTCGTAACCCGCCATCAACCTCCACAAGAACCCAAACGCCTGCCCGCACGCGCCGGCAGCGCCTGCGTAAGCCTGCGCACTCATCGCCCTGAATGCCACAAATGGGCCCCGGGGTTCGGAAGCTGCCTCGTCCCCGAGGGGACTCCCCACGTCTCTCTCGCATCTCCTCCCCCCCGCTGCGCCCCAGGGCCGTGCCGGGGGGGGACAGCGTGGTGCCGCACTGGGCAGCGGTGGGCAACACGCCCCAGCTCAGCTTCCCGGCTGGGGAGAGGCTCCCGGGTACCAACGGCAGCACTGCAGGGAGCCCCCACCTTTGAACCAGGCTGCCGGCTTGAACAGAGCCTTCTTCAAAGCCATGTAGAGGTGGAAGTTGAGGCGCTTGTACTCGGCGATGTCGTCCCGGATGCGCGGCAGCAGCACCAGGTTGTAGAACCGCTGGGCCATCCTCTCCTTCAGGTTGGATGAAAATATCCTGGGGAAAGCAAAGCACAAAGCGGGGTGTGGAGGAAGGAGGCCGAGCGGGGACAGGCCGGTGTTTCGTAAATCTGGTTCCAGTTATAGAAAGAAAGAGCTAAAAAATGCCATGTCAGCATCTCCCAGAGATGCGCCTACCTGGTGGCTTGGTACATGGCAGCTGCTGTCCAGGCCTCTGGCTCTGTGATGTAGAGGATCTGCTCCCAGTTGGACAAGGCAGGGATGATTTTAAACGCCTTGGGGAGTTTCCCGCTCCTGTATTTGGACAGCACCTTAAAAGACACGGACACGGGCCAGGCCATGACACACGGGCACAGACAGCAGGGCCGCGGGACTTGTCTCATGACGGTGAGAAAGCGTTCCCCTCCCTTCGCCGCTCTGGTACGAAAGGACGATCACAGGTCCCATGAGAGGACGGGCCCAGGACCAGCCCGAGCACGGCGCTCAGAAGATCGTCCCTCAGAAACCCTCTGGGCCCTCCAGTGACCGATACTGCGCAAGCTGCAGTTAGCACGCAGAGCTGCCTGCTCGGGGCGAGGAGGGAGACAGCGTCCCTGGGGGAGAGCGGGCGCCGAGGGGGTGGCTGTAGGCTCAGCGTGGCGGAGCTGCTTCGGCCTTACCTCCCTGACGCCCCTGTAGACCTCCAGGACGCGGGGATCGAGCTGGGGCATGGGGCAGCCCGACACCTCCGACAGCGCCGTCTCCACCTCCGTCTGCTTCTCCGTGATTTTCTCCATGATGATGTCCGCCAGCGTGCGCCTGGGGCCGGGGCGGGAGGGAGGCGAGTCAGGGGGAGGGGCGCCGC